GTTGCAACGTTGTAAGATCCCTCCGCGACCTTCAAACTTGTTTGTCGGAGACGGGGTTTAGTATCATTTGTTTAGCCGTTGCGAGGTAACGAGGTTTGTTTGACACGTGTTAGTTGCTGTAAAGAGAAGCGAGAATGGAAGTGTCTACACGAATAATAATTCATATTTACCCATTCGTAGAGGTTGCCGGGATTACATGCTGCCAATCCTTCTGCACGTGAAGAAGATTAACACTGAGCTCTATCATAGTTATTGTGGCTGATTGGCTGTACGATTAGTTCTCGACGCTTTACGACGTGTTAACATCATCAAGGACTCTTCGATGTGTCGCTCAGATTTCAATTTACGTCAAACAAGTCATCATAATTCGAGCAGGTGCAGTCTGGTAGAAGTTTACCGACGTTTCAGAGGTCCTTGTTGCCTCCATCATCATACTACACGGCGCAACAACCCAGAAGACATCCATCTTCACACTCATTGCCGTGAAAACCTCAAATCCTAAATAGTTAAAGTTTTAAAAGATAGTTCTACTTGCTCACAAATATAGAATTTATTATTATCAAAATATTAGCATGCAGTCTCTAATTATTAAGCCAAACAATCAACGTATCGTAAAAAGTGATGCTATGCTGCCACACGCACAGTAGCTCCTACTAATTCTCAACCTCCGTACTAGATGGAAGTGAGTGGTTAGCCTAACGCCCCAGACCCGCGCCTTACCTCCGGGGAAAGGACCACCGATACTCATAGGACAGGAGGCTGGGTGGGCCCCAGAACCGGTCTGGATGCAGAGGCTAGAGGAAAATCTTGTCGGTGATCAAACCTCGAACTGCCAGCCCATAGTCTGTCACTACACTGACTGCGGTACCTGGCTGTCTTCTCCGTGAACGTTTCATTTATTTATTTAGTTAGTTTTCTGTCTGACGACAGGTCCATATGAACAGGATCCTTCCATCCTTTTCTCGGACTGGGACCTGTTCATATACGTTCTTGGCAGATGATCCAGAAGTGGTTTGCCATTGCCTTCGTCTGTGTGTGAATGGAGTAATTGTTGGGATGCAACGGAGGAAAACTCCGTGTTGCCTAGACCAAGGCCTTGCCCAACACAAGTTATAAATTCCGGCACC